CCAAGTGTAATTGCATCTCAATAAAATCAATCTTTGCCTCAAAGTTCAAGATTAATGCTTAATCTTTCATGATCTTCAAGGTTCTTAAAACACAACCCACAAATTCACTTGATTCTTGCATAATCTGAAGTTGATTTCATGATATCCATGAGCTTGAGCTCCACTCATAAACAAAATTAGAGAACTCAATTTCTAATTCCTCAAATTACCTCAAGCAAATACATACATGAAACCTTAACCCCAAATGGGTTTAAATCTTCCAAGATCTTTATGATTTCACCAAATTGATACTTTAAACACAAGGTTCAAGATAGATTATCATACCTAGCTCAATCTTTGTCTATCTCTTAGCTCTCTTCAATTTTCCCCAAGTTTTCGTGGGTGATCTTCTTTCTCTTTCTTCCAGTCCCTTCAATCATCTTCAAAGCCACCATGGATGTTGAGAAGATTTGTCTCTCTTCTCTCTCTCCCTTTCACGGTTTCCTCTTTCTCTTCTTTATATATTTTTAGGTTCCAAGAGATAAGTTTTAACAACTCAAAGGCACATCTATATATATAAATATACACACACATAGGCTTAACACAATAGGGAGAGCCAAACGCGGCCTTACAAATCGCACGAAATCAAATTTCAATTAAAGTTCCCAGGTGACTCTAAAAATTGTGTTGATCATAAATATGTCCTCTGTTCTAGTTTCTGAAGCCTCTAAGGCCTTCAATTTGCAGTACCAAGTTAACCACCCAAACGTGCGTTAACGAATCAGACAAATTAGATTTCCAATTAATTTTCCCAAATAGTTCTAAAAATTCCCAATAACATACCCAAGTACTCAATTTTGATTTCTGAACCTATAAAGGTCGGTAATTTCAATTTTAAAGTCGTGACTCAACAGATAATTCCTCAATTCGAACAGATATCATTAAATTAAAATGCATTAACTCACAAGGACATAAAAGTAATTTCGGATACGAATTTTTGGGTCGTTACAGTGACGGTGACTAAGAAAAGTGGCACGTTTCATCACTTCAAGTATGAAACATCCCACCTTTCTTGTGTTCTAATTAACGTCCGATCCGAACACATGCAATGCAACACAAAGATGCTTAATCTTGCCTCTTTTACTTTGTTCATTTTGTTTACACATTTTACATTACCGATGAGTCTTTTAATCGATTAAGTCCAAGGTGAGAGTCTTCTAAAGAGAAAGAAGTGTCAACCAAGGGATGATTTAAGGCAAGAGAGAGGTCATGTCGTTGGTTAGTAGAAACCCTAAAAAGAGGATTAAAATCATTAAGCATAAACTCTATCTCAAGCTTAAAGGATTTCAAACTTGAAACAACTCTCAAAAGCGATTGAAAGTGAGACAAATGAGAATGTGGCAGAGATTATGATGCTGAGATTACATGCAAAATAATACTACAACATGCAAGCAACCCAAGCATTTCATGCTTAAAGCAAACAAAGAGCTAGTGAAGACCATTACACTATGGGCATGCAATGCAAAGCTCAAAAGGCACAAACACTTTAAAACAGTCCTAAGACAACCTAAAATGAGTCCGAAAACATGCTTGAATTAAGCTAAAGATACATAGAATAAGAGGCCAACACATAGCACAAGTTAGACTAACAAGCACAATTGCACTACAAGCACACAAAGCAAGCCTCAAGTGTTCCAAACAACCCAAAACAGAGTTGAAACATGCCAAAATAGAGCCTAAAACAAGCTTGAATTAAGCTAAGTTAAGCTAGAAAATCAAGCTAACATGTGAAGCAACCTTGGCATGGAAGCAAGACACAAGGAGGGGAGGCTAACCCCTCCTATTTTGGACCTCAGAATATGCTTTCCACCATTGAAATAACTCTGAATTTTAGTGGTTTAAAAGCCCAAAAATTTTGATTTTAAAGCCTTGAAAGATGGCATAAAAAACTATACAAGCTAAGGAACAAAAAGAAGAGACCACCCCTAACACAAAATAGCCTCAAACCATCATTTTAAACCATCAAAATAGAGTTTTTTGTAGTTGAAAACTAGGCAAAAAATAGTGTAAAAAGATGGCAAAACAAGTAGTCAAAACAAAGCTTACAAGGTGAGTCTTACACCTCTTGAAGCACAGCACTAAACAACCATAAATCTGAGCTCAAACCACCTTCTAGAGCTCAAGGGAGGCTCCAAGAGAGCTTCAAGCTATCTCAACCCAAAGATGAACCACTTTGGTCAAGGATTGATTGGTTCAATTTTGAAGTATACAAGCTTCTAAGCACAAAAGTTCAAGAGAAAGAGAAACCTAGAGAGAGGATTATAGAGAGAGAGAGAGAGAGAGAGATTTTAGAGAGAGAGAGATTTTAGAGAGAGAGGCTCCCAAACTTTTTTAACTTTGCAATATGAGAGATATTGCCTCTATATATAGCAATATATGAGCTTCAGGTCAAAATATCTGAATTAGGATAGCCGGAGCAATGTGAAAACAGCTGGAGGGAAATATCTGCAAAATATCTGAGTTTTGGACAACAGTGGCCAACCGGCCACTTTTATGGCCGACACCCCTCACTTCTGGCTAACCGGCCACTTAAAGTGGCCGACAATCCACATTTGTGGCCAATAGCAAAAATCTGTTCCCCAAGTCCAATTTTAAATGGCATATCTTTTTCATCTGGACTCCTTTTCAGGTCATTATTGAGCCTAAATTGAAGGCCCGGAAGTCTTATTTCCAATGGTGGTAGCCTCACATCAAAATTCCATGTGTGAAAAAAGTTATGCTCATTTTAGTGAAGACTGCTCAGTTTCGGTCCTAACCGGATTGATGCCCAACTTCAACCAACCATATCTCCCTCATCCAGACTCGTCTTTAAGAGATTCTTGAGTGAAAAATGAAGCCCCAGAAGTCCACTTTTCGACAGTTGTGGCCTCATAGATGAAATCCAAGTGTACAATAGGAAAGACTAATTTTAGAGAGGGCTACTCAACTCTCTCTTAACAGTTCATGCCCAAATTCTTCCCCCAACTAGGTTTCTTCCCTCTCCTCTAATTTTCTTCAACTCCAAACCTCTAAACAAGATGTTTTGAAATATTTTTCAAAATTTTCACCTTTCTTTCATGCATTTCCACTTTGTCCTTGCTCGGTTTACCGAAAACCGGAACATTTAACGAAATGTGAGCCTCGGAACATCATAGAAACTTTTTTTCAAAATATTTTGAAAGAGAGGGTTTTATGGTCTAAAAATATTTTCGTTCCAAAAATGGGGTGTGAGGTTTGGATTTGACGCTCTCATTGCCAAAGAAATCGAACCTTTGCACTGCACACCTTTCATCACCAAGTAAGCAATCAGCGGCACCCAAGTCTTAAGGGTGGTAAAAAATGGGGTGTTTACACAAACCTTCTGTAGTACCCAGTTAAGCCCATGAAATTGCGGACTTCTGTTACATTTGTTAGTGTAGGCCAATTTACAATTGCCAACCAAAATCCCATCTCTGTTGATAACATGCCCTAAGAAAAAAATCTCATCCAACCAGAATTCACATTTCGTGAGTTTAGCAAATAATTTATTTTCTCTAAGTGTTTGCAAGACGGTTCTCAGACGTTGTTCGTGTTCAAGTATACTCTTTGAATATATCAGGATATCATCAATAAAAACCACAACAAATTCATCAAGATAAGGTTTGAAAATTCGATTCATAAGGCCCATAAATGATGTAGGTGTATTAGTCCCTCCAAACGGCATAACAAGAAATTCATAGTGACCATACCTATTCTAAATGCTATTTTCTGAACATCTTCTGCCTTCACCTTTAACTAGTGGTATCTGGATCTTAAATCAATTTTGGAAAATACTTGTGATCCTTGCAACTGATCAAACAAGTCGTCAATATGGGATAAAAGGTATTTATTCTTTATGATTACCTTATTCAATTCTCGATAGTCAATACACATGCGCAAAGTCCTGTCTTTTTTTTTCACAAATTATACTGGTCCACCCCATGGCGAAGTACTTGATCGGATGAAGCCTTTGTCAAGTCTTGCCATTGTTCTTTCAGTTTTTTCATTTTAGTAGTAGACATTCTGTAGGGGGTTTTTGAGATAGGTTGGGTGCCTGAGATAATATCAATGGTAAACTCTATTTCTCTGTCAACCAATCCCCCCAACAGTTCATTAGGAAATACATCCGAAAATTCTCTAACAACAGAAATACTATCCATTTCAACATTCACCGAATGTTCAGTTAAGATACTACATAAATAACCTTGACACCCTTTCCTAAGTAGCTTACATGCCTTCATTACTAAAATCAGATAAGGTGGAGGCACTACCCATTACTCACAAATTCAAATTCTACATGCCCTGGCGGTTTAAACACAACCCATTTTGTTACACAATTGATAGTAGCACAATATTTTGACAACAAATCCACACTCAGAATTATATCAAAGTGTCGAATGTCCAAGGGTAATAAATCCACATATAAGATAGCATTGCCAATTCGTATATCACAAACACGATACACAGATGTACATAATACAGATTCCCTAGATGGAGCAGATACGCATAACAAATATGGCAATGACTCCAAGGGTCTAGTCAATCTAGATGCAAATATAGTAGACACAACGGAATGTATTGAGCCAGAATCAATTAACACAAAAGAATCTTGATTACATACAGAAATAGTACCTGAGACAACAGCTTCAGTATTTCATATGTCACCTAGGACAAGTGTAAAGACTCACCCCTGTCTCATTGTGTCTCTCGTAGTAACAGGTCGCGTAGTATTACCCGGTTTTGGGATAGATCCAGTTGAACTAACAGCTGGTTTCCAACCTTTTTACTGTTTAGTTTTGGTGCAATCCCTTGCCATGTGCCCCATTTCACAACATTTATAGCACGCACTGGAAATATGGTAACAAACCTCGCGATGCTTCTTACCACATTGAGCAAATGTTGATGCTGTAGTTCTAGTGGAGCCTAGAGTGCTTGTGGACCTCACGTTCTGTTTCTTTGATGATTTATTCCCTAAAAGAATGTTGCCTCTTAGCCTTCCAATCAGCTGGTGGTTTACTATGGTTGGCCATCTTAATTTCTGACATTAAAGCTCGATCTAGCACATCAACATAAGTGGGCAAGTTTAACACATTCACCCTTTCCAGGATGTCATTACGAAAACCATTTTCAGACTTTCTCGCCTTTTTATAGTCGGTGTCAACCATATGCGGAGCAAATCTAGCCAATTCAGTGAACTTGGCTTCATACTTAGCTACAGTCAGATTGCCTTGCTTCAGTTCTTCAAATTCTGACACCTTTCTATCACAGACACACTGTGAAAAATATTTCTAATAAAAGAGTGTAAGAAACTATACCCAGTCAATGCCCTTGTTATCATCACAGATTAGCATCCACCACCTTCTTGCTTCATCTTCTAGTGTAATGGTGGCCAATTGTACTTTTTGTGTCTCTACGCATGGGAATACTTCAAATAACTTCTTAATACTAAGGACCCAAGCTTCGGCCTTCAACGGGTCCACACCCCCGCAGAACGATGGTGACTTCATTTTCTTGAATTCTTTAGTCAGGACTATTTTTCGGGCATCATTATGAAAATCCGGTATAGGTTGTACTGGAGGTGAGGGTTGTAGGTGTTGCCACTGCTCTTGCCACTGCCATTGTTGTCTTAGTGTTTCTGCCATATCTTGAATCATTCTCTCCATTCGGTCTAGCCGAGCAGTGGAGGATTCTTCTAGCTCATCGGCTCTTGTTCTCACCATTATCTAATGAGACTTGCATTATAATTCATACAGAAGATATACACAATATTCATGTACAGAAGGGCACATTTATACAATTAGGCAACAAATATATATCATATAGTTGCATACTTCAAACCACTTAGCAATTTATCAATGCATTTGACGCATAACTTATCATATGAATGCAACTTAGGTCTTTTGTAAACACTCTATTGCTCATTTGGACAAGTGTGTGAGTTATTACTTGTGCTCTGATACCACTTTGTCATGGCCAGAACCTGCCCCTATGGATTAGGGTCATAACCGGCCAGTAATCATGAGATTACCTATGGCCTCAATCAGAAATCAAATCATGTTTAACTACGGGGGCCAAATAACGAAAGCAAAAAGTTACAAAGATTGCCAATAAGCTGTGCGTACATGGCTTAACCAAAAACTTTCTCATAAGTGTAATAACTCACACTATACACACATCCATATTATGTACCACATAAGTCCAGGATCATTCAAAAGTCAATGTTAACAAAAGGTTATACATAACTCAGGCACATAAGACTACAAAAGAGCAAAAGGAAAAGCAAAATAAAGCAAGGCCTCTTGTGTGAGACGACCTTGATTGACTCCTTAAAACTCAGTATCTCATAGCTCACTGGGGCTGGGGTTGGACATCTTGTTGCTCACCTACATACATAAATATAAACAGCGAGCTAACGCCCAGTGAATAACACCAAAGCAAAGAAGTTCATGAACAAGATTCTTATAATCATAATTCACTATTATGCTTGGTAATCAATAATAAAGAGAAACGACCTCAGGTCCTTTCTATCATATCCCAAACGCAAAACGACCTTGGGTCCAAGCAGCATACAAAACGACCTTAGGTCCAACTTACACTCAGAAAGACCTTAGGTCCAATTCATATACACATTTGTGTGCACGCATTTAGATCCTTGGTCATATACATATTCATCTTTGAATCCAAAATGACCTTAGGTCCATTCAATTCCTTATTCCGAATGGCCTTCGGCCCATTTAACAATTATACAGAATGACCTTAGGCTCAATCCACATCCTTACTGAATATATTGAGCGGCCTTAGGCCCATTTCATACTCATACGTCAATCACTCATTTCAAATTAAGTGATTAGAATACTCATTCATAATATCACTTCAAAAGTTTAGAACCTTACCACATAAGCCTCATTTAGAAAATAATGTATATACAAAAATATCTTTGCTAAGATATTACTCACCGTGTTCTGGTGCCAGATTCGTCGTCGTACTTGACCCTACATAATTCATAACACATTGGGTCATAATACAATTCAATTCGTTCTTTCATTTACTTAACTTTCTTAGGCTTCTTTCGTGCCCTTTAATTCATTTAGAATGCTCAATACGTGCCTAAGAATACTCAGAAATGAAAGAGAATGGAATTCGGAACATAAAACAATTTTTCAAAAGTTCCTGAAACAAGGCACTTCGCTCAAGCACAACTTTGGTCACTCGAGTAGTCTACAAAACTTTGTAAAACTTCTAGGAGCTTGATTTTTACGCTCGCGTGGACATGCTGAATTCTAGAATTTCGAGAACTATGTTTAAAGTTCAAAACTTGATTCTAAAGGCTTAAAACTCATATTTTTGGCACAAAAACAAGGAAAAACATTATATGACATCAAAACATAGGTAATTTGAGACCAATTGTTCAAAATTATGATCCAAATCTCAAATCATTTCATATTCTCTATGAATTTGTCAAAATGATATTCAAAACTCTCACGCATGTATGATCTTACATGAATTCTTATTCTATCATCTTCAAAACATGCAATTAATCTTCATAACCTCATTATCCATGGATGCATGTCTCAAATGACTACCAATTCAACTTGTTTAACATGCTATAAACTCAAATATGAAGATTCTTAGCAATTTGTTACATGCTTATACATATTGATCCCATTTTCATCATGTTCAACTCAAACCTTGTTCTTAACTTCATATCATCTTTGAATTCACTTAATCATGAATGTAAACCCATGAATTTGAATTCAATTACCCACCTAGAAGCTTTAATCATCCAAATTCTAGCTAGTTCTTGAGTTAATTCTCCTCAATTCTCCAAGCTTGGGCTAAATCCTTCAAATTGTGTTCTCTCTCTCTCTCTCTCTCTCTCTAGAGTGTATTCTCTCTCTCTCTCTCTAGAGTGTTTTTTTAGATTTTGAGCTCATAATATGAGCTTAAGTGTGTTTGGCTCTTATATATACTAGGTGATTAGTTTAAACTAATCAAACTCTCTTATGGTTAATAAACCACACTTAATTTAATCCAATTATTTTGATTCGAATCAATTTTTAATTAATTTTCACCATAGACTCTATAAATTATGTTGATTGCAATGGTACAATCGATTTTGCTTTTTTTCACCTCTACAGCCTTCAATTTAAATTTCGTAATAGGAAATTGAACAGATTTTCATACGGTGAACAGATAGAAATTCAAAACCATATATAATCATATAATTAGCACTAAAAATCATATTAGACATTTAATTCTAAGCATAACTAAGATTAATTAGCATAATATAGAGTAGGGTTGTCATAATATCCACCTCCCTTCTTGAATTAATCTCATGATAGAATGAGGTATTGTTTGTCTTTCATTGTGTTCATTAATTTTTTTGTCCAAACGTGTCTAAAACCATCATGCAATCAACTTGCAACAATTGATGGTTTAAGAACCAAACCTGCTCCTCTCTTGAGTATCACTATGATAGAGAATAGCAGAAAAGACAAACATGGCTTAGGAATGCTCTGTCTTCACTATTTTCACCTCAGAGTACAAAAACAGTTTTCTGCAAGAAAATAGGGCACGACCGGATTCTTTTGGGCCCAGTTGGGCCTCATTGGGGGCCGGCCGGGTTCCAATGTATGGTAAACAATGCACTTTTGGTTGAAACACAAAGCAGTGGCTAGAGTGAAACAGAACAGTTTCCTGAGAAGCAGACAAAGCAGTTTCTGAGGGTTGCCTTCGTTGACGCACATGCGATCCTTGTGCATACTTTACATATATTATTGTAATTGTTGTAATAAATTAGATGGTTCTTCATTTATCATTCATTTGGATTTGTAATAAGTAGTTAACTTGGACAGTTGGACATTCGGACCCTCTTGTGTGAGGGCAAATATGTAATAATCTATGTATGTCTTCCAATCCGCATTTCTTTCTCCCTTTTATTTATTCGCTTATGATGGATAGCATATAGCATTATGTTTTCCACAGCATTTTCCATGACTCACATCCATTCGTCTTGCATGCATAAGGTTCGGCTCATCATATTAATCAATGTCAAATTTCAAATTCCTTACTCGAATACGTGCCTTATCGCGTGCCTTGAATTGTCTCACATATCATGCTAGTAGCCGAGCTATTGAGTGTATATTGCATGTGTTGCATTAGTCACTTGCATAGTAGAGCATGCATTTTTCTAATGGCTTCGTTTCTTTTGGTTTGCCTCAGTTGAGTACTAGGTGAGCATTTCTTACTTTAGCATATTGCATGCGTGTGATTATTACCATGTCAAGTATGTTTATCATGAGGCTAAGTACTTAAGTGATATATCTCTTGAATGCCTGTGAATGGAGGCTTTCTCGCTTAAGTTGGGATAATTTGATCAATGCACATATGAGATCACTTTTCAAAACAAACATAAAATCGAAACGTTCCAACTTTTGTGAGTAAGTCTATACTTGTGTGCATCACATAGTAAAATTTGTATAATAATCAGAACAAAAGCATATAATGTACATAAAAATCACATCATGATCAGTAGAGGCCGATCTTTGATCGGGTGAGTGGGGTGCTTAATTCATGACCTTCCCCTCTCATACTTAAGTTCCCGAGCCAAGACACTTTGGCGATGACAGACTAATGTCCTTTGGCACGAGTCACGAGTTTCCTAAATTTTTCAAAATATTTTGGTGGCGACTCTGAAATCTGGCAATGCAGTCCATTTTTGGCATCTTTGATTCAAAATCAATTTTTTAAAATGATTTGCCGAATTTGGACTCTTTTCTGTTTATCCATTTCACATTGCACCTGCGAAATCAGATTTAGAACCACGAGAGTCCGAACTATAGGGCTATCGTATCCGAGAAGACTAAACCCCTCCAAGGAGCGAGAAAAGCAAGCTATAGATGCAAGTGCTAATTGATTTACAATTTCCTTGATTTTAGACAAGTACTCCTCCATTGTATCACCTTTCTTAGTGATACTGTTCAATTTATTATTCAATTGATGAACATGACTTTGAGATAAAGTTGTGAATCACTTGTGGAAAGCAAACCAAACTTCTGAACAATGATTGAATTGAAGAACAGTAGAGTGGATCGAAGGAACTAGAGTTGTAGTAATACAACTTAATAGATGAGCATCAATTACCTCTCAATGCTGATGATCTGGATTTAGAATCTCTATGCTAGTGGAGTCCTTGATCATAGAAAAAGGAGATAGTAATGTGTCATCAACATAACCAAGAAAATTTGTTGCACGAAGAGCATTTTGCACTCGATTCTTCCATATGAAAAAATCAGATGCATCTAACTTGACTGTTACGCAGGATGACAAATATGTGATCAATAAAGCTAAATTTGAAGGAATAGAAGAAGATGAAGATATCAGAGAAGCCATGGATTGATAGAACTTGCTGGAGCATTTAGCTCTGATACCATGTGGAAATAATGAAACTCAACTCTCTTTCCATATTCAATGCATCATATGCTAGTTACATCAGTGTATATATATACAAATCTAACTTTCTAACAACTTGCCCAACAAACTCATAAGTAACTCACTAACTAATATCTAATAGGCATGGATGCTGAACTGAAGCTCAAGCTGTGGCATTAGCTTGATTGCTGATGTGGTGGCTTAGGCTGCAGCATGGGCTGCGGCTTAGACTGACTTGAGCTGCTCTCACTACAGGAAAATCGAGAATTAGCAGCGTTTGTAAAACGCCGCAATAGGATGAAAAAACGCCGTAAAAAGATAAAGTGACGTTTATAAAATTCGTTGATGATGTGGCCGCCGTCTTATCTTTGTGGCATTTTAAAACGCCACTAAAGAATTTAGACGACGTTTTCTTAAAACGCCACTAATTCTTAACATCTGTTAACAATGTCCGTTAGAATGACGTAATCATGACGCTTTTTTGCGACGTTTTTATGAAAAATGCCACCTTTTCTTTTCTTTCTTTTTTTTGAAAAAAAACTCATAATTAATGATGTTTTTAACTTTTGTTCCAAGCAAACCTATTATCCATCACCGTCACCATCACCGTCACCGTTACCGTCACCATCTTCAAAATATATACCATAATGAGGCAACATCCATTTTTCAATTTTCCATAACTTAAAAAAATAAATAAATAAATAAAACACTATGTTAACTCAATACCAAAAAACATAAATAAAAATTACTAATGTTTTTACATTTTAATAAATAAAAAAATGGGGTGTGCTCTCCAAACTCTGAAAATAACTTCATCTTCCAGTCATCCAATCCTCTTTAGCAAAATGATGATATATACCTGAATCATCCTTTCATTCTTTGTCATTCTCAAGTTCATAAAAGCCTTTTTTACTGTAATCAAAATAAGAGAAAAAAAGACAAACTCAATCTGATAAGAAAGAAGTTAGGCAGAAAAAAATAAACTGGATAGTTAGATTCTTACAGTAGCCATTGACTATCAATCCAATAAATATTAGCCATTGAGCATGCCATTATCAGTTGAAGACTAAAAAATGATGATTTTAAAAGTGCTATTGCGCAAAAATGATTTGTCGTGGAACCTAGTAAGTAAATTTGCAAAATCTATCACTAACCCATCATGAAACCCAGCAATTAATATAATATGAACACATGTCCTTTTTTTTGTTCCTCATAAATTTAAATTTTGTGATCGGGTTAGCAAAATGATGATCAAGATTCATCCAAATTGCATTTGTTTTGCGGATTACAATAGAGATCAAAATTTGTGTCTAGACTAATCTTTAATAAGGAATTCATAACAAATCGTTAAAAAGAAGTTTTAAAAAAAAAAAATTGCATTAAAGATGAGCATCTTACACATCTGTTAAGAAGGCTGCTTCCATCACTATGTCCTGTAACAGATTGAAAACATAAGTTTCATGAATACATAAGCCCCATTTGGTAGAGCTGTGGGAAAGTGATTACAACTTCTAGCCTAACAGCTTATAAGCTTATAGCTGTGAACATAAGCTAATTTTTGACTTATAAATTAAGCTTCTCCTCCCCCACTCAAAGAATAAGTTGATTTTTGACTTACAAAAAACTATAAGTTGTATTGTTAAGCTGAACCAAGCATATCAAAATAGCTTAAATTAAGCTAAAAGATGAAATAAGCTGGAAATAAGCCCTACCAAACAGGGCCATAATCAGATGATGATGGGCAGCTTCGTTACAATCTTGAAGCACTTTGAGAAATTATATTGGTTCAAAACACAGACATATTATTGGGACAATGAAGAAATAAACAGTTTGAATTTTAGAATGAATACGAAACCGAGCATGGTTTGGACTAAAATGAGAAGTTGCATTGATAGATAGGCTGAGTAAGAACTGAGGTTAGAGAGAGAGAGAGAGAGAGAGAGATAAATAAATAAAAACTTTTGCATAGATTGCAATATTTTACACACAAACAAAATTCAACTATATAATATGTTTCCATTCACATTTCAATTGAAAGTTGAAACAATTCAAGACAACTCTTCAATTTGAAATATACTTTCACATCCTGATTTGTTTTCCAATGACTCCACATGTACACCTAAATAATAATATTTCCATTCTCTGCACACCATATCATGCACTACTTTTCTACATTTTAACTTGCTGTAGAAGAGCAAAAATGCTGGTATCTGTGAGGGCTTAATGTTTACATTTACTACAGTAGTGGGCTATTAGAGGAGATCCACAGTTGTAACAAAAAGAATGTCCGCATCTGTGATCATCCACAAAAACAAAATATACACATATAAGTAAGCAGATGATTGGGAGTAAAAAATAATTAAAAAATTAAATGAATCAATATAATCAATTGGAAATGGTTCAGATTGAGTTTCAATCTTCATCAACAACTGAAGAGACATGCTTGCTAAAAAAGATCAATCAAACACTACAAATGATTTTTATGTTCTCAACTTGAAGACCAAGGTCATATGACATAGGAAGAAGAAATAAAGAAAAAAAAATGAAAGGAAGTTTGACAGAGTTGAGAACAACTACATCAAGAACAGTATTGTTTATACACCAACTTGGAATGAAGGCAACTTCTTTGACCAGCATACTTTATCGGGATGTAGGAATGGATCTGTAAATGAAACAAATTCTATTAAAATTAAAAGCCTAGCAAATACCCACAAAAAATAAGAGACATTAAATGTCTGTAGTGAGTTACCCGAAATTCTCATATTCCCAAGAGAACCATGATGAAAGCAAGAAACATTGGGGGATTCCCCATAATAGGTGTGTCGTCTTTCCCAGAGAGAAGGATTCACAGACGGTGCTGATCCCACATGGTGGTTATTCATGGGTAAAAGTGTGTTCATCATATGAGACGGTGCACTGGGAAATGCATGCAACCGTGGAGGGGGTTGAGTAGTGCAAACCCCATTGGGCCAAATCATGCCTTGAGGCTGAGGGGGATTATTTGAATTACTCCAAATATAATGATGTCCAGGTGAACAGCTCCCATTTCTAGAGGAACCAAAAACTGAGAAACACATAATTAGAATATTAGAAAATCAAACAGTACGCACAACCCACTTGTTACATGAATCACTGTACAAATCTTTTTCTCTTCACTTTCTTGTACACAGTATTTCACCAAAAGAACTTAACATTACTAGTACGGCATGGCTTGACTAGCCACTAAAAAGACAGAAAATTTGCATCCATGCCCGGGGAATTACAAGGAGCACCATTAATTAAACCATCCTGATACTCTGGAAGTGAATAAGGATGAAAATTGGGTGTTCCCTGGAATTCAATTTTTGGCTGGCCTGGTGAAAGGGGAGGCTCAGGGAGGCCGGATTGATTGCCAAGTAATTCAACTCTCACCAGAGAGGGTAAACTGTTAGGAATGCTAGATGAGATCCCATGATGGAACTCTTTCCATGAAGGGACTAATAGGTGATTGGATTGCAGTGTGTACCCCTGAAATAGTTCCATTATCCATGCCTGAAGATGTGATTCCCCCATGTGAAATTGGTCCTGTAGAACAATTATTGCAAGGCAAAAGTAACACAGCCTTTTTTTAAATCAATTTCTAATGAACAGTGTATCTCACTGGCAGTACTCCACTACAAGAAAAAGCATTTTTGCCGATTAGGAGAGCTAATTTGTTGTAGATATGGCCTAGATTCATCTTGCTCAATTTCTGGAGGAAATGGTGGCATCAAACTGCACAGGAAAAAGAAGGTGAAGACAAACAAAGGTTTATCCAAGAGGTCAAAAACTAAAATCAACCCACATTGCATTTGTTCTGCAGCAAAAAGGAAAGGAAAATAATTATTCCATGAATGAATGTCGAAAATAAATAAATAAAATAAAACAAAATAAAAATGCTCCTCTGCTTACATAAAAGCTCTTCACTGAGCTAAAAATTCACTTGCCTTAAAACCGATGGGTAGATAAATGAAATCATAAGTTCCCCTATGGTGTTCATCAATTGCAGCTAAAAGCATCTTTGAAGTATACCTACAATTGAAACCATGTTAAAACGGAACCAGTTTGTTCTTCTTAGTAGAATGAAGGGAAAGAAGAAGAAGAAAAAAAAAAGAGAAGGGAAAGAAGAAAAAAAAAAAAAAAAAAAAAAAAAAAAACCATTCCAATGCATCTGAAAGATTACTTCAAGCTGAAATAACATTACAAAAATATGAAATAAAAGGCATATAAGAAAACAGAAAATGAAAGTCAACACTTCCATTGCATTATTATTGAGGGCAATAGATGATTAACTTGGATTCATGGCATAATGTTTTCTAGGCCAAATAAGCCTGATTTCGATGGTCCAATGCCCGGCTCTAATATTTCTAATCAAGAGTTTACGCAGAAAACACAAATCATCTACTTAATTGTAGCTACTTGATGGAGGATGTAAATACTCAACTCATAAACCAGGTCACATTTATCAATGGGTGTAGGCACCCAAGAAGCTAGCCCTAGCAATGTTTAAGCATCTAATTTGTGCACATGTTATGGAATATGTTACATCATTACAGCAAGTTGCCAAGTTGTATACAACATGGGACACCCAGTAGAGTTCTCATCAATCACTGTAAAATTTCTAACCAAATTACAATGCATAAACCTTATCTAACAAAAATTACTTTGAACATGAATATTTAAACAGTAAATTAGAACAAAACAAGAAAGATAAAAAAGGCATTTGCTAAATCGAGCACATAATCGGCGAAAAGCCTGAATCATATAAAGGGGTTTGCTTAATCCAATTTTGGTTTTCTAAGAAGAGAAGACTGGAGGAACAGGGCACCAGTCACACAACAAGCAAAAGAGGCTTTTATAAACTAACTCAAAGTACCAAAAAGAGACTTTTGTGGACTAACTTGAGATTCTTTGACAAAAATTAATGCATCCAAAACAATAAACATGGGTTTTCAAGGAATACAACTACAGATGGGAGGTTAAAAGAGATCCGATACACATCACCAGCAGAAATAACCAGGAAGAAATAGATTCCCCTTTAGCTCATTATTAAACCCGGATTACAAATGAAAAAATGGAGAATGAAAACCAAATAGATGTTTGTAGTAAATAATCAATCATGATAGAGTGAGGACAAATGAGAGATTAAGAAACAAAACGGAAAAGGATGAAATGTATTAGACCACGACAAAGCAGGTATAGATTAAGAGATAATAACCTACTCAATCTAATGATTGACATTTATAACTAGTTTCAGGAAGCACCAGGTTGTCATCAGTGAATGATAAATTCACTTACCAAAATACCGCAATACCAGTTTATAAAAATAAAAAAAACAAAAAAAAAAACAACAACAATAGATTAGCAAAATTTCCCAATCTCTCAATACAAAATAGGCGATTCAGAACATAGTCTAATCCACACCTATTCGAGTTTCTTGGAATAGAAAAGCCTATCATTTTATCGGCTGGTTTCCAACCAGGTACTAGTGAGAACGATTTTGTAGTTGCAGCGGAAAGCACTTATGGTGCTGATGGTGGTGGTTCGGCAATGAAGACAACATTGACGCCGTTGGATTAGGTGGCAACATCCTCACCGCACCACCACCGACGGCTGCGTCGGCGACTCCATCGTCATCGTCATCGTCATCGTCATCGTCATCGTCCTCCTCATCATTCACGCTCTCCTCTGAACTGTCCTCTCCACCATCTTCTCTATTACTCCCGTGAATCAACCTATCTTCTCTCCTTCTCTTGCTCTGACTCGACCGATCTCGATCCCGATCTCTATCTTGATCCCGATGATCTCGATCCTTCTTCACTTAACTAGTCTATCTTCCTCTACAAAATTATCAGAATCAGAATCAAGAAAAACAAAATACCGTCAAGAAATTTCTGTAAGTTTTCTAAACAAAACTGTATATTAGATTGAATTCAATTGAACAAAGAATACATACATCATTTATATAGAGTACCACTAATTCCTAATCCTACATGAATACATTACTGAGATATATAGAAGTCTAATAGACATAGGACACTTATTCCTAATCCTAGGAGAACACATATTCCTAATCCTAGGAGAACACATATTCTCACACCCCCGCTCAAACTCAAGGTGTTTTAGCAGAAAATATTGAGAGTTTGTCAAGAAAGAACCAAAACCGAGCAGTGGTGTGAGTCTTAGTGAAGAAGTCAGCAAGTTGTAGAGCCGAAGAGACAAAAGGAAGTGAGATAAAGCCAGAATGCAGATGCTGACGGACGAAGTGACAATCAATCTCAATATGCTTTGTCCGTTCATGGAAGACAGTGTTATGAGCAATTTGAATAGCACTTCGGTTGTCACAATAGAGAGAGGTCGGGGAAGATTGAGGGACGCCCAACTCAGATAAGAGATTACAAAGCTAGACAATTTCAGCAATAGCATGAGCCAGAGCACGATACTCAGCTTCGGCAGTAGAACGAGCAACAACAGTCTATTTCTTGCTTTTCCAAGAAATAAGGGAATCACCAAGAAGCATACAGAAACCAGAAGTAGATTTACGATCATTAACATCACCAGCCCAATCAACATCAGCATAAGCCACTAAGTCTAAGGAAGAAGTAGAAGAGAACAGCAAACCCTGAAAGATAGTACTGCGAAGATAGCAAAGAATCCGAAGCAAAGTAGCCCAATGTGTAGAGCGAGGGGTAGACACAAACTGACTAATCACATGGACAGCATAGGCAAGATCAGGGCGAGTAACTGTCAGATAGACTAAACAACCCACAAGCTCGCGATATAACGTAGGATCATCTAGAGGAACCCCATCAGTAGTGTTGAGCTTTACATTAAGCTCAATGGGGGTATCAGACAGCTTAGTGTCAGTAAGTCTGGCACGATGGATAACCTCGTTAGCATACTTAGCCTGGGACAGAAAGTAACCCTTGGGAGAAGAAGCCACCTCAATGCCAAGAAAATACCGCAATGGTCCCAGATCCTTCATTTCGAAGGTGCAGAATAGATGCTGCTTGACCTCAGAGATAGCAGAAGAGTCAGAGCCAGTGATGATCATATCATCTACATATAGTAAGAGAGCAACAAAACCAGCCGAGGTATGTCTTAGAAATAAAGCAGAGTCGGAAGCAGAAGGATGAAACTCAAGCTCGGTAACAGCAGTCTGAAAGCGATCATACCAAGCACGAGGAGACTGCTTCAGACCATATAGAGCACGCCGAAGACGACAGACTTGGCCAGAGGAATGGTGAAGACCAGGGGGAGGATGCATGTAAACCTCCTCAGTGAGATGGCCATTAAGAAAAGCATTCTTAACATCCATCTGATAAACAGGAGCAAATGTCTCCTCATAATCAATACCATACTCTTGGGAGAAACCTTTGGCCACCAGACGAGCTTTGTAGCGCTCAAGAGAACCATCAGAATGAGTCTTGACTTTGTAGACCCATTTGCAACCAACCAGATTCTTACCAGTAGGTAAAGGAACCAACTCCCAAGTACTATTTTTCTGTAGAGCAAACAACTCATCCTCCATAGCTTGAACCCAATGAGGATCCTGACAGGCCTCCTTGTAAGACTGAGGTTCTGCAAAAGAGTGAATAGCAGACAAAAAGGTACGATAGGAAGCAGAAAAACAAGTATTAGACCAACCCAACCTTTTTGGAGGATGACGCGCTCGAGGAGGATATCGGTGTTCAGCATGATCAGAGTTGTCAGAAGCAGGAGGATCAGCAGCAGGGGTAGAGACAACTGGTAGAGGAGGAGCCTTGCGACGAGAATAAACTAACAATGGAGGAGAAGGCGAAGAAGGAGAAGTAGTCAGAGGTGGGGCGGTAAGAGGAGGAAGCTGAAAGTAAGATAGACGTTCGAGAAAAGCAACATGGCGGGAGATATAAAGGCGACGAGAAACAGGGTCATAACAGCGATAACCTTTTTGAGTGAGACTATATCCCAAAAAAACACATAGGACAGACCGGGCACTAAGTTTAGTCCTATCTTTACGGGGTAAAAGGACAAAACACGCAGACCCAAACACACGAAGGAGGGAGTAATTAGGAAGTTGAGAAAAGAGAGCCTCATAAGGAGACCGACCAGAAAAAAGGGGGGTAGGCATACGGTTGAGAAGAAAAGTAGCAGTAAGAACTGCCTCACCCCAAAACGAAGCTGGAACGGAGGCAGAGAGAAGAAGAGACCTAGCTGTCTCAAGAAGATGACGGTGTTTACGCTCAGCTCGGCCATTTTGGGCAGGTGTATCAGTACAAGAAGTTTGGTGAATGGTACCCAAGTTGGCCAAATATTCACAGAATTCAGTTTTAAAGTATTCCCCACCCAAGTCAGACCGCAACATTTTAATAGTAGATCCAAACTGTGTAGTGACCATGGACTGGAAATTACGATATATCTGGTAGAAGTCAGACTTATGAGTCATAAGATAAACCCACGTGTAACGGGTGCAATCATCAACAAAAGACACATAGTATACTGAACCATCTTTAGTAAGAACAGGAGAGGGTCCCCAGACATCAGTATGCACAAGAGAGAAAGGAGAAACAGAAATAGATGTACTTTTATTAAAAGGTAAAGCTGACAT